CAAACTGGGGCCCTGCGTGCAGAAAAATTTTAATGATGATGTGGGTGTCTCGGTTTGAGTTGCGCCTGTTAAGCATGTGTCCACTCAGAAAAAAAAAAAGCATTCTTGGCCTGGGCAGCCAGTGCTACCTCAAAACCAGTATAAAAACAGAACAAGAAGGGTGAGCAACGATAGCCCTTATTGCTGCCAGCCGTGGTATTTTGTACAGCTTACGAGTCTTCCGTGCATGTCGACAATACCCGCTCTACTCGTGAAACATCACATGGGGCCTCAGTCTATGTCATACCAGAGGCAATGTCATGAGGTGCTGCCAATTCAGGGGAGCGTTTACACTTACTTCAAGACAAAATTAAAAAATACCTTAAGCTGACGTCCACCAGTAATAATCGGTCAGAAGTACCCATGTATACAAGACAATCAAACAACACTAATATTTCGAGGTTTCAATTTTGGTGTTAGGGGTCTTTTAACAATTTAGGCTTAAATCTGGCAGACAAGCAGCACTGAACTCTCGAAAGCACACACTATAAGCAACATGCCGTTTTCTGGTAAAGGACATTTTTTTATTTCAGCCAACTAATGTCGAGCCATTTATGCAAACCACTACTCCTTACACCATTTACCGTATTTAGTCGCATAATTTGCGCACTTTTTTTCACGATTTTTGAGGCCCCGAGAAGGCGGTGTGCTAAATGCGCGAGGAATTCGCGAGCGCAAATGAAATGTTGTCTCACAGTCCTAATGCACGCAGACCATATATTTAAAAAAAAGAAGAAATAAATTAATGCACAAACAAAACTTACTAGTTAATTTTGAAAGAATTAGCGCATACTTCAACCAATCAGATCGGGTAACGCGTGGTCTAGTGGGAATCACTTATCGTGAAGTCCGATAAGAAATCATCGTCGCGGCTGCTGGCATCACCCTCCCGAAGCGCATCGTCCTCGCTTCTGTCGAGCACGTTCGAAAGCCCATATTCTAGAAGCTCTTTCAACAATGCTGGGAAAAAGTATGTCCAACAACACAGTGATACCAGAAAAGCTAAGCGTCTGCACATAATTGAGAAGGCCTCCTTCAATGGCGAAAAACTTGCATCAGCAAGTGTGCACTCTTTTGCTTTCTTGTGTACTGATCATACCGGTCGTCACATTGAAGTACGTCCCTTTGGAGTGCTTTGCGGCGGCACGCTTCCCGTCTTGTTCAGCAAAATTTACAACAACGAGCTTGAATTTCTCCATATATATAATTACTGTAGCACATAGCACAAACCTAAACTTCTGAAATCGACCAAGCGTGCGTTGCAGCGTGGATGCAGAGAACGAGAGGAACAGCTGACGCGAGAGATTCTCGCATACCTCTGATGCTGAAAGTTGTTTGTTCCGTGACGCGAGCATGCATTCTCTACATTATCACAGTGGCCGAGATTGGGAGACGAGGGGAGGCAAACACTCGAGGAGTTCCTGTGTGACCCGTCAACAGGTTTGTGTACGAATGCGGTATTCTAGGGACCCTAGTTCGGGGGAAGTCCTAAGAAGAAGGAACTTGGCGCTCGCAGCCTGTTTGACTGCGCTCGTCTGCACGGCGAGGCGCGTATGCGGTCGAAGCATCGAAACACGCTTCGAAAGCTCCAAAGGTGCGCGCGCCAGCGAGCTGGCTCAGGCGAGTCAGGGAGCCTGAAATCTGCGAGTGAATATTTTTTTTTCACGAAAAGCTGGCAAAAGATTAGGTGTGCGAAAATTATGCGAGGACGCAAATTATGCGCGTAAATACGGTAGCTGTCAAATAACTACCGATGAAACGGTTCGAATCTCACAAGTGAGACCTTTTTTGGAAAAAAAAAAATTCAGTGCCCCCCAAAAAATACAGCTAGTACGGATGAGTAAGCATTAGTAAATAATGAATAAGTAAATTAGTGAAGTGGTTCTAAACCTGTAAGATGTACAACAATGGCTGTCGGCTTCACGGTAAACTAGCTGCAGATGTCTATTCCTTTTTTTTTTTTTGTGCCATTCCCTTCCTCAAAAACATCCAAGTATGTGACGCTCGTGACGACATTTGACGCAGCCTTGAAAGAGGACCGACACACATGTCATGGCTAAAAGAAGGGGGGGGGGGATGAAAGCAGGCATCAGCACATTGTATTTCATGCTCATTGTAGAATACAGGTCACCAGTCATGCAACACACAGTAGACATTCAACAAAGAAGAGCGAGGCTTCGCTTCACTGTCACTCTATGACCAACGTGGCGAGAGATAGAACAAATGACCTGACTGGTCCAGTGCAATACAACTACCAGCTCGTGTAATCCTTTAAACCACATTGTCTTCTATTTCTTTCATGTTTACAAAGCAGCGAGGACTCACACATTGCTTTTCGCATGCGTGGCTGCATTTTAACAGTCATCTATTGATGTGATAGCATTAAAAATAGTGCTTTGCAGAAATTCTGTTGTCAGCATCAATGACTGTGAGTGAAAAATTGACATCGATGCGAGGACAGATCGAGGAGTTTTGCCTTGAGAAATCTTTTCGACGAATTTCTCTCTTTTTCTCTGTCTTAGGGTTACTACAAGCCCCGCCGGAAAAATCTGTACGCCTGTTCTAGAAGCCAAGCAGAACAGGACAAAAGGGATGCACAGTGGATTCCCAATAAATGAAACTCGCTTAAACGAAAATGCCTCACTAACGGAACTAAACGGGCCCATATGGCTGAATTTATATGTCTAACGCAGTAAAATTCACCGGTTAATCTAAACAGGGCTTACTGGTGACCTACGGTTAAACGGCACAAACGCTAAACACAGCATTGACTCGCTCATGCCAAAGGTAGTCTAAGAACCATGGTAAAACCTTGAGACAAGCCAATCCAGTAGCCATTCTCGCTTGTGGTGGCTACGGGAGCCGAATCGGCGAGTCGGTTGTCTGTTAGGCTTATTTCTGCGGCTAAGTGTGATGGATCATGGTTTTATTTCAGCCCAATAAAGAGGAAGCAGCTGCACCATGCACTCTCGCTTGAAAAGCAGCTGCAAATTCTTCAGGAGCTCGAGCAAAGCGGCTTGCCCAAGACTGAGGTGGCGAAAAAATACAACATCCTGAAATCGATCTTGTCGCGGATCTGGAAAGTACAGAGAAAGGATTGAAGGCGCTGTAAAGAACGGGACCTTTACATCTAAACGGATGCAGACGACACCTTATGAACAACTAGAAAAAGTTCTTTTTCTGTGGTTCAAGTGAGCACAGAGTTCCGATTTGTCCGTAAGCGGACCGATTCTCGAGCAGAAATTCGAGAGATAGCCATGCAAATGGGTGTTCAGAACTTCGTTCTAAGGGACGGATGGCTCAGCCGCTACAAAACACGCCATGGCCTAGTCCTCAAAGCAATCTCAGGTGAGTGTGCTGCAATCAACAGGCACATTTGCATCGACTGGCAACAGGGGCGGCGCAAGGAAATTTTGATGAGCTTTGAGCCACGAGACATATTCAATGTCGACGAAATGGGTTTTTTTTATAAGGCGCTCCCATCAAAGACTCTCACCTTCAAAGGTGAAGCCTGTAGTGGAGGAAAACGCAGTAAAGATCACATCACTGTGGCGGTGGGTGCCAACATGGCAGGAGATGAGAAATTGAGGCTGTTAGTAATAGAAAAATCAAGGCACCCACGTTGTTTCAAAGGCGTTCGACACATTCTTGTTGCGTACCATGCGAACGGAAGAGCGTAGATGACCATGTCCATTTTCGAAAACTGGCTATGGTAGGAAAACGCAAGATTTACGAGGCAAGGCAGGAAGTTTGTCTTCATCGTGGATAATTGCCCAGCCCACTGTCAGGTTGAAGGACTCCAAGCTATCACTCTGGAGTTCTTGCCAGCCAATGCAACGGCAGTGATGCAGCCGATGGATCAAGGTGTTATTCAGAACATTAAGGTTCATTACCACAGACAATTGCTCCATCGAATGCTGCTTTGTGCAGGCAGCAGGAAATGCTACAGCATGAACCTATTGGCAGCCATCCACATTTGGCTCGTGCCTGGGAGCAAGTGAAGCAACAACAATACACAGATGCTTTCACCATGCTGGCTTTCAAGCGCAAGCAGCAGTATTCAGACAGGTTGTGCCCTCTGCTCGTTTCCCGCTGCAGGACTACGAATCAATTGATGAAAATGTTTGTACCTGTCGTGAGAAGACTGTAGAGTAAATGATTGCCGAAGTGCAAGATGAGGATCAAACTTCCAGCGATGAAAGTGATGACACTATTGCCAGTCCAGTGGTGCCACCAGACCATTCAGCTAAAGAGGCTGTTGAACTTTTGCAGTGCTATTTTGAGCACGAGGCTTGTCCAGAATTTCTGGCTAGTTTGTCAGGCATGAGTGCGTACCTTGTGAAGAAACAACTCAAGCTTGCCAAACCCCCTCCCTTCACTCCTTTTTTTTTCTCCTGTACTCATCCACACGAGTAGGTGAGGTTTGTGCAATTTGAATAAAGGTTTGGTTCATTAAATAAGTGTACTTTGCTTAAATGAAACTTCCGATAAATGGAACAGCTTACTAAATCCCCATCGAGTTCCGTTTAAGAGGAGTGGACTGTATATAACAATATTATTTGCTGGGCTTTAACGCCGTGGAACCACAATATTATTACAAGAGACACCGTAGAGGAGTGCTGCGAAAAATTTTACCACCTGGGGTTCTTCAATGTGCACCTAAATCTAAGCACATGGGCCTGGAACATTTCTACCGCCCTCGAAATGCACCCGCGAAGGCCAGGATTTGATCCCGCGACCTGCAGATCAGCAATCGAGCGCCATAATCACAAGATCACTGCGGTGGGTCGGCAAAAAGTACATAGACCGTCTATGCCCATCTATGATGATAATAATTTGTGTTTCCAGAAGACAAATTACGGTGAGCCTAAAGAGTGTAGCCTCTAAGGAAACAATACCCACAAGAACTATCGGAGGAGCTCCAGGTTTGTACTTCAAAGCGGAACTTAGTGGCGACTCACTTGTGGAATGATAATGGGCAGTCCGTGGACTTGTCTGAGCTGTTGGTGCAATTAGGAACGCAGCACTTCTTCACTGCAGCACCTGCATTGGACAGCACAGTATAAACGCCCAGCTGGCCAGCCCAAATGAAACAAGAACATTCTTCTCTGCTGACAGATGTTTAGTTGAGCCAGCGAACAGCATGGAGAAAAGAAAATAACACCAGAAGAAAACGTGGGATAGGCCAGTTAGCTTCACATACAGTGGTAACGATAGGAAACATGTGAAAATCTCAGGCACGGCAACTGAGGTAAGTGTCAACCAGAACCATCACCATCGTATGCGAAGGCGTTAGTACTCCGACGTATAACATTCACTCATTCTCGTCACATCAAGCAGTTCCGCGTGTTGCGTAGTCAAATGTTTCCATACTGCGACATGTCCATGTCGCTTGTTTTAGACAGAAAATTTGAATGCTCCGACAAATTCTATTAGAGGTTCTGATGACAGTACTGAGCTAAATTTATTTTAGTCAAAAAAGTCCCCCCCCCCCCTGCAAACTAGCCTTTTCATCAGCATACCGCAAGCTTTCCTTGTGCAGCACGATCGACATTCAGCGATGAAGATCAGCAGGTTGTATACAGTCGAAACACTTATCAAGAAAAGTGATCGGTCCCTCAAAACACTTAGTTGTTAATTACGCACACAGTGGCATTCAAATGTAGCATAAAGCAAGCGAGAGTGTCATTCCAACAGAATCGATGCCTTCGGGCAGTACGCAAGGACTTATTGGTCATCTTTCCACTCATTAAGGATCACGCGTGTTACATGTTGCCTGCTGGCAAAGGCAAGAGTGTTTTGCACTTCCCATGGTGGCCATGAGGGGCACTGACTAACAGTCCCAGGTTCGCATGTACATGAATAGCCCATTGAATGGATGAGGGCACAACCACAGCATCGGGTGTGTAATCGGGAGGTTACTGAATTTGACTCTGCAAGTGGCATGTTGTCTTTTTGTCCACTTTACTTTCTTGAACATTGTGGGAATCTGAGGCGCGCCCGCGACCATTTCGCGGGCATTCCGCCACACGGCCACACCCTTTTGCTTTTCTGCTCTGTTAACACCACGTGGCGATAGATGGCGCCACATGCGGGCACGGCACGCGGTACACGCGCGCCGAGGGAGCGCCCTCTTCTCCGTGGTCGGCGCCGGGTAAGCACGTGTTTTCCTTCGTCCGCGTCCCCTTTGGGACTCGCGGACTGTAGCCTGCCTGGGGTGGCCTTGGGCTCCCCGGCAGGCGTGTTTACTTGAGTGCTGGCTTCGGTAGCGTATGCTAAGCCCAGAGCGGTGCCTAGTGCTTGAAGTGGTCGTACCACAACGAGCCGCACTTGCCGTAGGCCTACGCGTACGAGGTTTGCCCTAACACTCGCGACCAGGCCCATTGGCCATCGTGAGAGTGCGCAGCATAGCCGCGAGGGACCTTTTCCCGACCGGCGTGTCAAAGCTCGCCATTGCCAGCTGCGACGTGCTCGCGGTTTTCCCCTTATTGTGAACGTCCGCGTGCGGGTGCCTTTGCTACCCGCGTCCCGGGAGCGGACGTTGTACTGTTGTTCGGGGTGCCGCCAGAGGCAATAAAGTGTTGTGTATTTTTGCACTAGAACACTGTCTGTCTGCTGCGCCGCGCTAAACGCCTTATTAGTTGAGCGCACGCGGAGCGGTGCGCTACACGCGAGTAAACGGAGTAGCGGCCCTGTGGCTCGCTAAGCGTGAACCTGCGGTGGTCGTCCGCTGCAGTTAGTAGCGGGGTCACCATAACATCTATATCCAAATTACTACAATGCACTTCAAAAACAGTATAATTAACCTTTCCTATACCTTCCTTGGCTTCAGTGCCTGCGGGTTTTCATAAAGGTTGTGTGAAAGAAGAATAAACTAGTTCTCGAAATACCATTCCTTAATTCACTTCAGTGCGAAGGCACTTCAATGCACATATTTCAAGTGACGGTAGCCCTTGTTTAAGACCGGCACCTATAAACTCGGCAGCCCAAAATGTGGAGAAAAAAATAACAACAAACAATTTGTGTAAGATTCCTTGTGTGCCATGTTCCACAAGTAGCAAATAGACTGCAATTTTTTATCACACGTGTTTTGTCAGTGGCGCGTGTCGCTGGTTTTTTGTGCTGTTCTTCAATGACCTGTCAAGTTGATTGCCCGAGATAAAGAAATGCCTAACCACGCATGATGATGATGATGTTTGATGTTTTATGGCGCAAGGGCCGATTCACGGCCAAAGAGCGCCAGTTCATCTTACTAAAAATATGGACAATGATTGTGATAAGTGGCTGTATAAGGGCCATAAAATTCCTCGCAGTAAGGCGGGTAAAAACATACAAATAATAAAATCATGACCATGCCGTGGAAGGTGTGTGTGGTGTGAACAGATGACAAAAGTTGGTGATAATAAAAAACGATGGTGGATATGTATGGCATTAGCACAAGTGCCTCACTCGTTCAAACCCTTGCGTCCAAGGGCCGTGAGGCATGTGCTTTCTTGTGTAGCCACCGCAGCAAAAACCTCTCTGGAGAGGTCATGCTACGGTATGCCCGGGTATATGACATGAAAGCTGTGAATTTCTTTTAAAAACGCTAACAATGATTTATGACTAAAAAGTGGTTCCCTACCGACAAACATTGCAGGGTGTGAAGGTATATGTTGTCGGTAGAGTAATGGAAAATGTTGTTTTCTTAGAGTTTCTAAATGTTTACACTGGATTAGTATGTGAAGGACTGTTAATGTTTCACCACATTTGTCGCACAATGGTGGATCGTCACTAGACAAAAGATGTGTGTGTGTTGCGTATGTGTGTCCTATCCTGAGTCTCGTTAGTATTACCTCTGTATAACGCGATTTTGATACTGGCAGCCAATGACCAAGGTGTGGCTTAATAATGTGTAGTTTGTTTTGTGTGTGTGTATTCCACTTGCTCTGCCAGAAGTCTCTGATGTTTCGTTTGAGAGACGGCTTAAGATCAAGGGCCGGGATTAATATGGGTGTAGTGGCGGTGCCCTCGTGGACGGATGCAGCAAGCTGATCCGCCATCACGTTGCCTTGAATCTCACGATGCCCTGGCACCCAGCACACTACAACATGTTGGTTGAGTGTGTAAAGTGTGCATAAAATAGAGTAAAGTGAGACAAGGACTGGGTTTTTGTGTTTTTTAAGAGTGTGCAGAGCCGTTACTACACTGAGGGAGTCTGTATAAATTACTGCTTTTTGTATTTGTAATTGCTTGATGTGTTTAGCCGCCACAAGTATCGCGTAGGCTTCCGCTGTGAAGATACTTGTGCCTGGATGTAGAGGGCCAGCATCCGAAAAGGACGGGCCGACAGCAGCGTAGGACACAGAGGAGTTAGACTTAGAGGCATCTGTAAAAAACTCAGGACGTGTGTATTTGTGTTGAAGTTCCAAGAAGTATGTTCGAATATGGGCAATAGGCGCATGTTTAGTAACTTCTAAAAAAGACACATCGCAATCTATAGTCTGCCACTGCCACGGTGGCGGGTATGCTACAGGAGCCATTAAATTGTGTTCGAGTGACACTCCAGTGTCCTCAGCTAGACCCTTCAGGCGAACTGAGAAGGGCTGCCTCATTGAAGGCCTGTTTTGAAAAAGAATGGAGCTCGACAAGTCATTAATAGTAGAATATGAGGGGTGCCTCTTGTCTGCTTTCACCTTAAGGAAATAAACAAAGGACATGTAGGTTCTTTGCAGATGAAGCGACCACTCATTTGACTCAACAGAAAGGCTTTCTACGGGGCTGGTGCGAAAAGCACCCGTAGAAAGGCGGATGCCCAAATGGTGCACGGGGTCCAGCATCTTCAAGGCACTTTGAGTAGCAGACTGATAGACAACGGCCCCATAATCTAAGCGGGTGCGAATGAGGCTTCTATAGAGGTTCATGAGGCATTGCCTATCACTACCCCAAGTAGTACGTGACAACACTTTTAAAACATTCATGGCTTTTAAACATTTTGTTTTTAGATACTTGATGTACGGCACGAAGGTCAACTTGTTGTCCAAGATTAGGCCTAAGAATTTATGCTCGGCTTTGACGGACAGACGTTGCCCGTTCAGTCGAATGTCAGGTTCCGAGTGCATGCCTCTCTTTCGAGAGAACAAAACACACGTGCTTTTTTGTGGGTTAAGTCGAAATCCGTTTTCATCTGCCCATTTGGAGATCTTATTTAAACCCAGCTGAACCTGCCGCTCACACATGGCCAAGTTGCATGACTTGAAGCCAAGCTGGACGTCGTCGACATATGTACAATAGAACATATTGCGGGGAATGGACAAGTGCAAAGAGTTCATTTTGATAATAAAAAGTGTGCAACTAAGCACGCCACCTTGTGGCACGCCTGTTTCCTGGACAAATGTTTGGGAAAGCACACTGCCCAGACGGACACGGAATGTCCGCTTTGACAGGTAACTTTCGATTATATGAAACATTCTTCCGCGCACACCAAGGTGAGACAGGTCTCTTAGAATGCCGAACCGCCATGTTGTATCATACGCCTTTTCGATATCTAGGAACACAGAGAGAAAATATTGTTTATGGACGAAGGCGTCTCTGATCTGTGCCTCGATACGAACAAGGTGGTCTGTGGTGGATCTACCTTCTCGAAACCCGCACTGAAATGGGTCGAGCAAATTATTTGTTTCAAGGAAATGTACAAGTCGGCAGTTTATCATTTTTTCGAAGACTTTGCACAAGCAGCTTGTAAGTGCTATAGGCCTATAACTCGAGGGTAAAAAAGGGTCCTTGCCCTCTTTCAAAATGGGAATAACAATAGCCTCTTTCCAGGAGGTAGGAATAGTGCCAGAAGACCAAATAGCATTGTACAAACAAAGTAAGGTTTTACGGGTTTCGTTTGGTAGGTTTTTTAACATTTCATACATCACACGGTCAGAACCTGGGGCAGAAGTACTGCAGGAGTTTAGAGACATTTGCAGCTCAGCTAGACTGAAAGCTTGGTTATATGCCTCGGATCTAGTGCATTTGTGTTCAAGTTTCTGCTTTTCTATTCTTGTTCTGTATTTTTGGAAAGTGTCAGTATAGTGAGATGAGCTGGACACCTGTTCGAAGTGTGCACCGAGGAAGTTTGCCTGATCTTCCAAGGTATCACCCCGAGTGTCCACGAGTGGAAGTGTGTGTACTTGTTTTCCTGCTATCCTACCGACCATGTTCCAGACTTTAGCCTCCTGTGTGTATGAATTGATCCCTGACAAAAACTTCTGCCAACTTTCTCTTCTGGCCTGCCGACGCGTTCTCCTGCCTTGAGACTTTATTTTCTTGAAGGTGTCAAGATTTTCGGCTGTCGGTGAGTTCCGAAGCAGCCTCCAAGCTCTGTTTTGCTGTTTGCGCGCGTTTCGGCATTCAGAGTTCCACCATGGCACACGCCGTTTTCCTGGGTGCCCATTTGTTTGTGGGATGCATTTTGTTGCAGCATCAATCAAAAAAGCTGTGAAGTAGTCGACAGCAACATCAATGCTTAAAGTACCTATGTCACTCCAATCTATACGAGCGATGGTATGAAACCGTTCCCAGTCGGCTCTGTTTATGAGCCATTTGGGAACACGGGGTGTACACCCAGTTGTTGTAGTTGTGCTCAAAACTACGGGAAAGTGGTCACTTCCGTACAGATTACTGACGACTTTCCACTGGAGTAGAGGCACAAGAGATGGAGACACTATGCTTAGGTCTATGGAGGAGTAGGTGTTATGTGCGAGGTTATAATAGGTTGGTTCTTTTCTATTTAGGAGACATGCGTTTGACGAGAGAAGGAATTGTTCAATCAGTCGACCTCGCGCATCGCAACGAGAGTCTCCCCATAGCCTGCTATGCGCATTGAAGTCTCCAAGGAGAACATAAGGCTCCGGAAGTTCATCAATTAAAGAGTGTAAATCACGTTTTTGCAGCTGATAGCTAGGAGGAATGTAAATAGTGCAGATTGTGATTAGTTTATCAAAAAGAACCGCTCGAACAGCCACTGCCTCAAGGGATGTTTGGAGTTGTAAGTGTGTGCATGCAATTCCTTGATTCACTATGATGGCAACACCTCCGGATGATGTCATGGCATCATCACGGTCCTTTCGGAAAATAACGTATTTACGAAGAAAATTTGTGTGTTTTGAATTAAGGTGTGTTTCTTGTACACACAGCACTTTTGGTGAGTGTTCGTGTAGGAGTTCTTGGATGTCGTCAAGGTTTCTGAGAAGGCCCCTGACGTTCCATTGTATAATTTGAGTGTTCATGGTGAATGTAAAATAATGCTGTGTGTACGAAAAGCGAGTGGCTGTTTAGACGGGGAGTTTGAGTTCACTTAACAGGGCCGTCACCAGGCCCTGTTATTTGCTTTTTTGTTTCTTGGCGCGCTCCAAGGAGCCACGCCGCTCTTTCGGCACCAAGGGTGCCGACGTATCCATTGCCTCCTCGGAGGCACTGGATGCCCGCACGTTCGGGCTGTTAGTTTGGATTTTGGGCCTCGCCTGGTGAGGGGAGGCCTTGAGACCCGAAGACTCTGGAGTCTCCGGTCTCTGTTTGGGAGTAGGCGGTGTAGCCTGGGCTACAGCCGCCTTGGGGGCAGGTGCCACAGCCGACGGCTCGCTCTGCGCAGGCCGAAGGGGTGGCGAGGGCTGGTGCGGCGTTGCCCCCTGACGCGCCGCATCAGCATATGTTGCGCCGTAAAATGGCGATACTCTTCGTCTTGCTTCTTTGAATGTGATGTTTTCTTTGACTTTAAGTGTGATTATTTCTTTTTCTTTCTTCCAGTTAGGACACGAACGCGAATACGCGGCGTGTTCTCCGTCACAATTCACGCAGTGAGGCGTAGTAACACAGTTATCAGATGGGTGGCCGTGGCTACCACATCTTGCACAAGTTTCCTGACCCCGGCAGTTCTGCGAGCCATGACCAAATCGTTGACATTTATAACACCGTCTTGGATTGGGAATGTAGGGACGGACAGAGAGTTTGATGTATCCTGTGTCTATAGATGAAGGCAGTGTGCTAGATGCGAAGGTGAGTATTAAATGTTTGGTAGGTATTTCTTTGTTGTCTCGTCTGATGACGATTCGTTTCACATCTGTGACATTTTGCTCTTTCCACCCTTCAAGCAGTTCCTGTTCAGACATTTCAAGAAGGTCTGCTTCTGAAACAACTCCGCGTGAGGTGTTCATCGATCTATGGGGTGAAATAGATACTGGGATATTACCGAATGCTACGAGGCTGCCAAGTTTTTCATAGTGGTGTTTTTCAGGCAGCTCAAGGAGAAGGTCTCCGCTAGCCATCTTTGTAACCTTGTATCCTGGGCCAAAGACCTCTGTCAGAGATTTTGCAACAAGAAATGGAGATATTGCTCTGGCTTGTTTTGTTGGGTTATCGCTGTGCACAACATGGAATTTGGGAAAGCATTGTCTGGGTTTGCTGAAAAATGATATGTCATCGGTGCGTCCCCTCTTAGGCGGGAGACGATCTAGGAGACGGGGAAATGCAGGTGTTCCCATAGTAGTGTACTTTTTGTTCGGCAGCAATGGCGACCACCCACCACGGAGTCCAACCAGGGGACGCTGAAGCACTTAATAGCATAAGGCTGCAGACGCCAGCCGTACATTGCCACTATAACCAAATATAATTACTCAAGGTTGAGTAATTACACAAGGTTAACCCTTGCCGCCAGGAAAAATCGGAAGTAAATGGAAGAGAGAAGAAGACAGGACAGATTTAAAGACGAGAAAAGACTAAGATGAAGGAAGAGAGAGATAGGAAAAGGCGACTGCCGATTTCCCCTGGGTGGGTCAGCCCAGGGGTGCCGTCTACGTGAAGCCGGGGCCAAAGGGGTGTGTTGCCACTGCCGGGGGGCCTTAAAGGTCCAATCACCCAGCGTCAGCTCAACCCCCAGGATCCCCTTTTCCCCGGACACGGCAAAGCCACGCACGGCTAGGCGTGGGAGGGAGCCGAAACTCCCCCGTTAGCTCGGGTCCGTGGTGTCGCTACACACCAAACGCCTACTTGCGCAGGCGCCCCTGCGGGGGCCTAACCACGCATGTTGGCGAACTTATGAGGCTTGGGTTGCTACATTTCAGAAGCACGCTCTAAGCTACATCTCAGTGGTGTTACCGGAACGAAAATATCAGTTCAACCAACAAGAACAGAAAGACATTTCGTGGGAATCACGAGAGTTCCCAGCACTCAAGGTTAAGGAACTGCTTGAGAAGAAAGTCGCTCAATCCTGTGTAATGGCCGCATGGAGTTAAGATTGCAATAATATTACAGAAACTACCTCAAATACTTATAATGCTAGATGTAAATGTACACCAATGATAAGGCTCTTTCCTTTAACTTAACGGACGAATCTTTTCATGCATAAATTGCTACTTTGGTTAACAAAAGTGCGCGTAGTAAAGTAAAGCAAAAAACTTGCTTTCGTTTGAAGGCTTCCCGCGAACCATTTTGATCAGCACGCGCTTTGACATTGGACGCTCTGCTGGCTGTGCAGGGCTGTTGTCCTTCACTTCAACCTCGTCGCACATCTGTGGTGCCGGCTGCGTGTTGAGGGCACGCTTGTGCAACTTCGCAACAATGTTGTTACGCTGCGCATCACTGAAAAGAAAAATGATAGTGTTACTCAAAAAAAGGAAAGAAAGACTGGCAGCTATTAAAGCTATAGGCGAGAGTAACACGTCAGCAGAGAAGCAGCAAGGTGCAAAAGGAACAACGCCATTACAGCTACTCTGTGTATCACAACGCTGGCATAGTTTGCCACGAGCAGCGTTTCAGCTACGTGGCTGAAACGCTGCCAGATAGGTTTTCCTCTGATTGTACTTCCTTTTTTGCATAATGCATTGAACTAGCTCGTCTAGTAAACAGGTTGCCTCAACAATCATTGTCAGGTGATAGTCCAATTGGTTCACGAAGTTATATGCATGCAATCGGCCATTTCATCTTGTATGCATGATCAATTATTATGGTGATGCCAGTTTTACCCAATGTCTGTTATGAAGCCTTTTTAAGTAACTAAATTTTTAACTAACAAGACTTTTTAAGTAACTGGATAAATATTGAGACTTACCTGAGAATTCGAACATGTACCTGTTGCCCAGAAAAATATTAGTTGATGTTAGCTTCATGTTTATGGCATAATGAATGTATATAACAATCTCTAGAGTTGATATTTTGAACAACAGCCCACAATTTATTTCCAGTGATGAAGCTTCGCTTATTGACAGATTCATAGTCATGTGTGCAGACGCCCCCCCAATAAGACGGGCCTGCCTACATCGTCACCTATTGTGTAGCACACCACCTCAGTAAACTGTCCAATGAATAACACTTAATACTGGGGCCAAAATACCCATGCGGCACTACCTGTTCACTACATGCACAGGAAAGCACAAGTAAAAGAAAGAGCACAAAGAAACAGACACTTCCAGATTCTAGTTGAGACAGCACCTAAGCCATAATCTTCAATACAAGAGGTCAGCACAATGGAACATGGGGTTTACCTGGTGCTGCCACCTGGTGTCGAAGCTTGGAGGAGGGGTTCCTTGCATTCTGGGCAGAGCATAAACGGGGAGAGCGGATCATCAGCATCAGTCGAGTCTTCGACAGCAGACTTTCTAAGTTCTACGAAGATCTTGGTCAAGTCTTCTCGTGCAAAAGTGCGTTGGCAGATATCGCAAGTGCCTCTGTCAGAGTGGTTGACCGACTTGTTGCCTGTGTTGGATGTTTTACTTCCAAGCTTCAGGTGATGCGAGTCTGGACTTTTTTGGTTAGCTCGTGTCATCACTAGCCGCGGTGAACTAGCTCTCATGGTTGGAGTTGTCGCAGATTGCAAGGCTTTAGATGCTATTGTTGTAGCGGCAGTTTTTTTGGGCGAAATAGACGGCCTTGATGGATCTGTCACAAGCACTCCAACTGCATGCACCTCTGTCACAGCTGCCGTTGCCTTTGTGGCTTCTGGCTGTTGCTCGGGCTCCACCACTTGCGGAGCGTTCGACTCCGGTTCTTTCGAAGAGTGTTGTTGCTCCCCGTTCTGCTCTGCTACACCCTTATCTCCCAGAATAACCTTGCCTTCGTTTTCCGACGACAACTCAGTCCTCGGCAGCTTTTCAAGCTGTTCATCAGAGGTGGCTGGCGACCTTGCAAGCATGGGCTCATCAGGAGCGGTGCCATCGCAGCTCGTTGTGCCTCCTGTCGAAAGTGCGGTGGCAAGCATCGTAGAAGGGTCCACTGTGAAGACGACAAAATTGTTTGTGCTTAACGATGACGATGACTCGAGTGCATTTTTTTCTGTCTCGGCTGCTCCAGCTGTGTCAGCGGACATGGTACGCGCACCACGGGCCAGTTGCCTGCTAGCGCCGCAGCTAGTTTTGCCGACCTGCGCACATGAAACGCAAGTAAGGCTGTCAGGCATTCGCTTTCAATGAGTAAGCAATCTTTGAGAAGGTGGTTCAATTGAGTGGAATAAAAAGATTGCAACTTTAGTAAAGCTTGTGGGGCTAGTTGGTGCACATGGGTATAACTTAGCAAGCTGCTTGTTCGGACTAGCTGGTGTGTGTGTAGCATTCTCTTGTTCATCATCCCTGAAGTTTGCGCTATATACCAGTTCAAGAAAAGAAAGAACGCTGTCGCAATGCCTGCTGCCATAGCTACCTCCACCACAACTGGAACCATTGAGAAGATACAACTGTTTCATCCAAATTTGATGTGCCTCCGAATCAAATTTCTCACGGATTCAAAGAAGAAAGTGATGCGAACAAGACCATTAACACATACGGATGCTTGACCAATCGCGTGGCAGCAGGGGCGCAGCCCGAAATTTTTTAGAAGGGGGGGGGGGGGGGGGCTTCGACCATTGACCATACTTATGTATGTTTATGTATGCGTTCGTATGTGTGCGTGTATATATACGCAAAAAAAAAATGAAAAATTTCGGCGGGAAGGGGTTCAACCCCCTATTGGCTACACTAATCTGTAGCAGCTTATAAGGTAAAACACCGCGCCGCGAACCTCGAAGGTGCGATTGCCGAGCAAGGCGGCAGCATTTCCAAGGGTGTTCACAAACCGGTATTACTATTTACAGACCGGTAACGCGTTAACCCGCGCGGTCAATACCTCCCACGTTTCTCCAACGACAGTACAACGATCGGTGAAACACGACCGCGCTACGCAGATCTTCGACTAACCGGCTAATCCGACGAAGGAAGCAGCACTCCAGAGCGTCACACTCGTGCAACGCGGCTCTATACGTTAGCCCGTGCGCTTGATGTCCGTAGTACGTTTCGCGGACGACAGCACGCCGCCCGGAGAAATGCGACTACGCTACTCAGCACTTCGACTAACCAGTTGATCCAGCGAAGGAAGGCGCACGCCAGTGCGTCAAACCGGCGCGACGCGGCTCTTCTGCAGCCAGCGAAGCTTTCAATGGAAACTATATCCCCCTCGGAGAAGCTTACGCTGAGAAAACGATACCCAGTCGTCGACGGACCGTCCAGTAAGCGAATAAATTTTGTTGACATCTACCGATGGCGATGCCGCTAGGAGCACGGCAACAGGCCAGACGTAAGCGAGGTTTCGGTTTCGTATTCGGCCGCGCGATGAATGCGACTGGCGGTATCGCCGTTTCAGAATCGAATCCGTTCTAAAACCGAGAGCATCTTTCATGTAATCTAAAAGGTCCTGAATGATAATACGATTATTTAGATGCAATTACAGCACAATTTCCTATGAATTCGCAGGACGCGCGTGTATCTTATAAAACTTTTTTTTTTCTTTAAAAAAGAAACTGAGAAAAAGATCTTGCCGCTTACTTTGTTCGCATTTCGAGGACTGATAGCGTTTCCCGCTCCTAAGTAGGATAGCCCTAATCCAACGCTAAACACGATTACATCCTAAATTGTGGGCAAAGACAGCTAACATATATTTCCAAACTCGGAATGAACAAGCAAATGATTCCTGCGCCTAGAAAGGCTAAAATATGAGAAAATAAGGGTCCATTTGTTAGATTCCCCCCATCATGCACACAGTGGTACTGAGGCTCTGCAATCAAAACAAAAGTTTTACCATGACTTTCTCTAAAAATAGCAAGCCCTAATTTTACACTGTACGAATAAATTACAATCTTAGGACGGGCATATACACTGTCACGTCATAAGTACGTTAAGTCAAGGCACATAAAAAATAAAACTGTCTACTAAAATGTGAAGAATTTTCTGCCTTTTTAAGAAAACGCTTGCAAGTCAAATTATTTCAATAACAGCAATTTAATTTCATTTATTGCAGTTAATTTCAGTTTTCCTTGTACATTGCAATGGAACAACCCTCCATTACGAAGACTCTTATGCTTGCTAAAGCACAAAAGAATTGCAAAGAGCCAAGAAAGAGTCTGAGAAAATTTAATATGATAAACATTCGAAGCACCTTAGGCATGTGCTCAAACACAATCAAGATACAGAACTTCCCTATATTCGCAGCTCGCCACTTCAGATTCTCGCATGGCTTATGATCCAAGTGTGGGTCTTGTATTTTTTTTCAACCTAGATTTGCAATTAATGTACAGAGCTACCGGGCGAGTAAAAAGCACAGAAAAAAGAAATTTCCATCTAGAATGAGAAGAATTGTCAATGTTTTCGGAAACGACACAAAACCTTGCCTTGCAAGCAAATCAAAGCATCCAATAGCAGAAATCTAATCTCAATTATTGCAGTTCACTGTGCATGTTATGTGAAGTGCTTTACATGTTAATCAGCACTAGAGAGAACACTGGGGAATTGATGTCACCGCATTTTCCCTGTCTGATATTATGAACGCAGAGGTCCGACACACAGCCAGCAAAACTTTCCTATGCAGTGACCCCGCGAGGTCTTTACAGGCAGAGTTCCCTGCACGCAGCAGTTCAATAAGCTAGGTTGGAGAAAGGGCAAGAACATCACACCATAAAGATGGAGAAGTGCACATTTGACAAGAACGAAGGAGTTAAGAAAGACATGAAGTCGTTTTTAATAAACAATCACGAAGCAGCCCAAGTTGGGCCCCTCATTCAAAACCAGGAAGTACCTTATCAAAATGATTTTAAGTCGACGCAAATGTAGGTTGACACAACCTCACAAACAGCACTTTAACAAAAAAAGGAGGAAAAAAATGCACGAGTCATGAAATAAATTTAACTATTTATGTTGTCACTGGACTGACTACTCGTTAACTGACTCCATATTGATACAGCGTCTATTCTGTCAGCACTCCTGTGTCCTACGCCCGTAAAAAGTAGCACTGGAACATTTTAAAAGAACACTGACACAAAAATTTTGCACCTTGTTTTTATTTTATTTTATTGTTGTAGCAAGAAGTAGTTTATGACCCACTTATCATAGTTGGAAGTCTTGTTTCTGCGAGTGCGCAACCATTATTTATTTAGAGACATTTTTAGAGAATCCCACCGCAGTTTCTGTTTCGAAAAGTGCCGAGCTAGGCAAGATCAGTTCCGGTAGCGAGATCAACTGAGCTGGCTACGTAACCACGAGAAATTGAAACATAGGCACCCAGCGCAACATTGTGTGCGAGTGGGCGCCGCACCGATCCGCCAAACTAAACTCGTGACAAAGGTCTTTATGCTGGCACCGCATTGACGTCGCGACACGAGGTACTCTCAACGTCACTCAGTCACATGCCATGCCCTTTATAATTGATTTTAAATATGTTATAGGCTACATTTGCCCTTGATATTGAGGCTACATTTGCCCTGTGTACATCTCTGCATAAATATATCTAAGCTTCAAAATTTCGCGTGAGTGCTCTTTTAAGTAGAAGCTAACGTATCACCAACTATAGCTTCGTGACGTGATTAAAAAGAAGTTCACTGCCGATTACAACACTGCCTGATGTAAATTCTGAGCACAGCGGGTTGGAGCGAGGCCAATGATGTTACCAGTTTTGCCTTTCCTCAGCAAGATATCGACTACGCCATAAATCACGATTTTTGGTGAGCACAGTCTCTCTCAGTATTTCTATGGAAAAGCATGGTGGCTGCTACTGATCTGTAAGGTATCAGGTGCCCTTTGTTGATGCTGCAAGCGGCTAGTGACCATGAAGAATCATGCTTGAGCCCTTTGTAACAGGTGAGAAGCATTAAGCCACGCAGTCATCGTGCAAATTTGTGTGATGACTAGTTGTTATTTTACTCTTTAGCCATGCTATATTACACAAATTAATGCGACTCCTTGCCTCACATGACATCTGTATAAGGTTTTTTTTTTTTTTTTTTTTTTTGCAATTGAACTTCTTGCGCAAGTGTGACTCTGTAGGGTACTCCACTGCAATTCAGAGGGCCCCAGTTCAAATCCAATTCGATCGTCTAGGGTACTTTTTGCCACCACTTTCTTCATGCCCACGGGTTACTTTATCAAGCTTATTTGTCATGCCACAGATGGCAACAGCAAGAGTAATGGCGACACTGCGCTCAACATAGGAACAGGCACCTCACAGCTGCACTCTAAAAACGTAAATTGCAGATTGCAAAGGTGGCTTCATGACGCTGCTTCGAAGCTTCACAGAAAAGCTAGCTTCCAAAAAGTACACGGCGATTATTTTTGGAGATTTTTTTTCAACGAATCGTGGTTGAATGCAGGCTGCGCATGAGAAAATATGCAATATGTTACATGTTGAGCCGGAAGACAAATTTAATGTGTGACCACCATCATTAGCAATACTAGTTTCAACCGTTCTGATCGTATGTCGACTCCCCCCCCCACCCCTTTTGGATTTATAAAATTTAGATAAAATGGGTCAACCTGCAATCGTTAAAGGTGCTCTATAAAAACCAAAACCATTTTTCATTTATCAGTAAAGTACAACTTCACAATCCTAAAAACACCACTCTCACTATGACCCCGTATTTAATAAGTGAAAAAAACACGTGAAAGAAAATGCAGGTGAAGACACCCCCTTTATGACAACACCATAAATTTTGAAGGTGCCTACTGGGTCCTACGCAGCTTCTAATTATTAAAAATAAAGTACAACGTAGCCAGTGGGTGCCATAGACCTAGCATGCAAAGTTTCAGATAATTTCATCGAGTCAATGTCACAAAAATTCCAAAAATACATTAAAAAAATTTCTGAGGTCACTCGCGAGAGACTTTGGCATGAAATTGACCTTGATTTTCTCAGCTAATAATAACTTTCGATAGTGAAACATATGGCATTAGACTTCCGAAAGTGCAGTGCCTCAATCTAAACCCAGCCACTGTTTCTCTTCAGTGCCCCTTTAACATATGGCAGTATCGCCACAAACCTTGAGAACGCTTTTGTCCAGGTGAACGGAGGAAACGGCCTTCGAATTCAGTGTCCCTCAGCCCAAGCACCCGCTGGTAAAGTCTTTGGAGACAAAGTGGTCCGAGCAGATGACTGTCCACCACTTTGACGGCCACTGTTCGCGACCTATGACTTTTATCCACTTTTCCTTCATATTATTGTTCCTGGGCAACTTGGTGGTGGGTAAACAGCCCAATATGCCTGTTTATTTACTAATGGCAAACAAATCAGTGACAATGAAATCAACCTAGATGTGTAAATGCTTCACATTTAATCAATTAGTTATCGATTGTTGCATCATCACACTGTTATTGTTACAAGAGAAAACGAATACCCCTACTGTATTAGAATTTCGTGCAAGAACCTCGAATTGTGGATTACATTGTGGATTATGGTTTCTTTTTCTTCAGTATTCCTACATGGCTGCCTCAGTTGATTTACTATTCCTAAAAAAATGTGTGTACACTTCCAATTTTGCCAAGTGGTTGCACAATCCCCAGCGCACACAGTGCCATATGTACAGGTGAGTGTGTGCATGTGCATGCTTCTACCAACCAGACATGCACGTGACCTAAACCAGTGACCTCAATCTCCTGCCACATTACCTTGAAGGAACACAGCAAGGTTTCATAAAATAAAAAAAAAATTAAGGCAATTTCGCATTAGACGTGCCAAGCCTTATTTACCTAGATGTGAAGCTGGGCAGCCTTCTTTGTTTCTTTGTGGTTGTCGCTATAAATATCTTTACTCATCTTTCTTTGTTTTTTTTCTTTTCCAGATTTTCTGCCTTTTTTTCTCTCTGTTTATTTCTACTTATTTCAACTTTTCTTCTCATTTCTTTCCTTTCTTTTACTGTCTTTCTATTTCTCGCTTGTTTTCTTCTTTTTTCTATTTTTATAGTAGTACATGCTCTTGACTGCATTATGCCAATAGACGACCGCATAAGACAGCTCGGGGAGGGGGGGGGGGGGCTCTAGTTGGTGCTTTGAAATTAATATCATCATTAAGGCAATTGAATAATGAGAGGAAGAATACTTCTCCTAGGTGCAAGCCGCACACTCGATACAGTACCGATGGCTATGCTGTATGTAGTACTACCAGCGTTTTGCCAAGCTACACGAGGCTGTGAGAGCATACTACAGCCCGGGCCACTAAAGTGCTTCACATTTGCAGCATATATTTCTTCCGGAATTCTAGCAATGACAAATTTTATTGGCTAACACAGCAATGATGGGCGTTGGAACGTTAAATCATCTAATCTTCTTACTTATACTGCGACCGACAGCATTTATTAATCTAGGGTCTTTGTATGATATCTACACACTCACTCATAAATGTATACATATATACATGCACACATACATACATACATGCTATTAAATACCAATCAAGTGCCCTCCTACAGTAAAACATGATTTGACAGGGTTTGGGGGGGTGGGGGCAGTGGAGGGTCTCTTGCTCAGTCGCAAATCAAATTTCAGAATCGCCAAAAAAGAAGCCCCTAAGAATACACACGTATGCTTCGAATGAAATGCTTCATTGAATATGCATGGATTTAAGGTTTTTACAGAACCGATGGGACGCTATTGTGCAAAATATCTTGTGTAATAAAAAAAAGGGGCAAAGATGTTCTTCAAATGTTCAGACAACTTGTGACAGCTCTGAATGTAACACCGAGGCATGACAGTGAAAAAGTACAAAGGAATGGTGTGCATATCTAAAGACTATTAGAACTTAGATTCTTGGGTGCTGCTGCTACTGCTGCTGCTGCAGGATTCTGTTGGGGAGCACAGCTTAAAAATTGGTGGGAAGGGAGAGGGGTACTTGCTTGGGAGAGAGGTACCTATTTCAAATACATGCAAACCTCATTGTAAAGAAGTTGCATCTTACACGAATATCGTCATATACAAAAGTTCGTTGTAAAAGCATGTTTCTAAGACTACATCTATTGGCAGAGTATTCTTCATTTGCTTCGTTATAACCAATACTTCATTATATACAGTTTTGTTATATCGAGATTTGAGTGTATTTTGAAAAGAGCAAAGGGGCGCTCGCTCAAGTAGGGGCACTTTCTCAGGATTTTAACATGCGCACATGCAAGGCTCCAAATTGATGTTTGTCAAGACCAACGTATATTCATAAAATCAACATTTGCCCATTGTGAGGAAGAAGATAGACACGTGCAGAAGCACACTGCTATCGCCTGGCTTGCTTGGCTGTTCGCTTCCTGGCTACGCCTTGCCTGCTGTTGGTGCTACCCTCCCGGTCGCCATGTACTTCAATAGACCCCTGTCATCGACTGTATACTGATAGAAATTCTTGCTGCCACTCATTTTCAATCACAATTCTACATCATATATACTTCAACCTCATTATAACAAAGCCACAATTGATATGTCAATAACTTCGTTATGTCTGAAAATTCGTTATAAGTATATGTTAGAACCACTGCACCTATTAGGCTATCCATTTACTTTTTTATAACCAATTTCTTATACCCCTGTTCCTTATACTGAGGTTTGAGTAAATTAAGACATGGGAATTCTAAATTGGGCACAATTCCACGCTTGTGGCAAAAGCAAAGCCTCACCTGTGAAAGGACAGAACTCCATCTTGTATCATGCCAGTGTGGTTGATGTAGCTGCGGACACAGCACTTTGTGTTGCGCAACCCTGGCCATCAGACAAGTCCAAATGATAGTAAAAGCCTTATTACTATCTCGCTCGTGTCGAGATAGCTTTCAAGACAAAGAAATAGAGCCTCAAGATTGAAGCTTATCTCGCCATAAGTTGCTCTATAGAGGCCTAGGAACAGCCCTATAATATATTTCAGTGAATGAAAAAGTTTACAGCTAACAGCAAAAAGCAATAACTTGCACATATTTTGCTTCAAATTTTGGGAAAATGGTTATTGTTGTCGCTGCTGCTCTGTTGTGGCTCAAATTTAGTGGAATGACCATGTTTTATCACTCTGCTATAAAGGGCATGCTAATTAGGCCCTATTTGTACTCTACTCTTGAAAGAAATCAAGAAGGAAAGTCAAGTTTGCTTTTTAATTGTCACACTGCCCAACAGAAGCTACAGAAAGAGGCCATTCCAGGAGAGTCACCACATCTTATTTCTCGTTTATAGCCATTTATTTATTATTTATTTATCTAGCAGAGAAGCAAGAAACATGCCCTTCTAAAACAGTTGTGTCGATAAACTCATGTAATGTACTCAATAAAAATAAACAAGACAAAAACTTAAAGTGGCTCTTCAGGTATTGCACAAACGCTACTCTACATATGTGAAGCATGAACTTAATATGTATATTCAGTGTCTCCTCGGTGGCAAATAAATGTTTTATTCTCTCTCTCCTTTTAAGTTTTCAAAGCAGATCCTCACAAGTAATTGAAAAAAACATAGCAATAGAACTGAGGTCAACTCACAACGTGAACTTGACAGTGATGCAGAAAGCGGCGTCGAAAGTTGCACTATGTCCTCTGAACTGTCTTCAGCCGGCACTTGCGACGACTGCAAAGCTCGCACGTGAGGACTTCGCTTTGCAGTGACGCCTTCATAACGTGCATGGCTGAAAGTCAAAGAAGAGAAAAAGAAAATCTCATGCACTCTCTTCCAACCCAAAAGCTGTCCCCTTCGCTTCCTGAATTTACAAATACTCAAACTTTCGGCTCCGCTTGGCTTTGCGTGGCTTGAAGCTGGTTTTTCACGAAACAACAGTCAGCAAGTGTTCAGGAGTTGCAATTCACCACCTCGACCTTTTACGCTTATCAATTCAAATTGGGTCCCAAGCTTCACAATGGTCCGTTCTTTTCATTTCATTTTTCATTTTATTATACCCCTCAGGGCCAGAGGCATTACAGAGGGGGAGTGGTAAAAGCACAAAAAGGTAACAAAATAAAAGGAACAAAATATGCAAGTACAATAGAGACGCACTATAAGTTAGAAAGAGCCTGAGTATACAATATTAGCTACAGAATTGCGAAAATGTTTACAGTTATTAATGTTTACAATGTCAGCGGGAAGGCCATTCCAATCGCGAGAGGTTCGTGGTAGAAATGATTGATAAAAGTACTCAGTATTACATGAAGCGAATCCAACTTTGTGACGATGATCAGTGCGATGGGATACATAAGATGGTTGAGGGATGAGTCGATTGCGCAGATCAGGATGATGATACATTTTATGAAACAAGGCAATGCGTGACACTTTTCTGCGCAGTGATAATGATGGGAGGGAAAGGTCTGATTTCATAGAAGTTATGCTGGCAGTGCGACTGTAATTAGCGCGAATGAAACGTACAGAGTTGTTCTGAACCATCTCTAGAGCAGTAATTAAGTTGATATGGGTGGGATCCCACACCGATGTAGCATACTCTAATTTCGATCGGATTAGTGTTTTATAGAGCAGGAGTTTCAAGGAGGAAGGAACGTGATAAAAATTTCGACGAAGATAGCCTAACATGCGGTTAGCTTTGTTAATTAAGTGCTCGATATGAGCAGACCAGTTTAGGTTTGCAGTAATGTAAACGCCGAGGTACTTATATGAAGTTACTGATTCTAAATGAATGTTATCAATGTGGTATGGTTGTGGACGGGAAGATTTTCTGGAAACACGCATGACTTTACATTTATTAATATTTAGTTGCATTAGCCATTCACTGCACCAGTCTGCGATTGCGCCAAGATCAGACTGAAGTGAGGCAACATCATTAGAGTTCGTTATCTCTCTAAAAACAACACAGTCATCCGCGAATAGGAGAATATTAGAGTTAACAACGGAAGGAAGATCATTAATATAAATTAGGAATAATAAAGGCCCAAGGACTGAACCTTGAGGAACTCCCAAATAGACATCTGTAAACTCTGAGTTAAAGCCATTAAAAGAAACAAATTGTGAGCGGTTTAAAAGGAAGCACTCAATCCATTTCAGTAAATTAATACCAATATTAAGCGTGTTTAGTTTAAGCAGTAGCAATTTATGACAAACCTTGTCGAATGCCTTAGAAAAATCTAAAATATGCAGTCAATGATCGATAATCGATCTAGTACTTGATGTAGCGCATGAGTAAAGGTTATTAGCTGAGTTTCACATGAGTAATGTTTTCTAAAACCGTGTTGTGCTGAACAGAAAAAAGAGTTGGATTCTAGAAAACCGACAAGGTTAGTGAAAATAATATGCTCAAACATTTTACAACATGTGCTGGTTAAGGAAATGGGCGATAGTTAAGTGGAGATGTCTTGCTTCCAGACTTGTGAATTGGAATGACCTTCCCAATTTTCCACTCATTTGGAAGAATGGACTGATCAAGAGACTGTTGAAAAAGTTTAGTTAAGATTAACGCAGCATAGGCCGAAGTGTTTTTCAAGAACTTGTTACTAATATTATCACAGCCGGGAGCTGAATGAAGGCTAAGTCCACCAATGAGCTCAAGAACACCAAGTGTACTGATTAGTATAGGTGGCATACTTTCAAAGGTATGGCTGTTTGTTGTGGGGTTATTAACAGCAGAATGGGCAGAAAAGTTCTCAGCAAATGTACGGTTAAAAACTGAGGCACAAATATCAGATGAAATGGGGTCGCCAGAGGAATCGGTCAGTGTGATAGCGTCATCGGTTGAGGGATTAAAAGTTCGCCAGAATTTCTTAACATTTGTGGTTAACATGGAAGGTAGTACATGGGAATGAAAATGTTTTTTTGCATCTCGAAGGGCTTGAATGTACAACGTAGACGCTGTTGCATATAAAGCCCAACGTTCATTAGAAGGCGAAAGTTTTGCGGCGCGAAAGAAACGCTTTTTTTCTGTTTGACAAACGCCGGATATGGCTGTTGTACCAGGGTGCATTTGAGTTGTTGGTTACACTGCGGTGTGGGATGTACTGTTCAGTGAGTTGAATTATTTTATCTGAAAACATATTCCAATTAGTTTTGTACACTGCGATCGTCAAAACCGTCAAGAAAAAGATCAGTGAAGGTAGAAAGGTCATTGTTGATTGCCTCAAAGTCACCTCTGTTATAGTCACGAATGATTTTCTTCTTTTTCTTTGTTTTCGGGTGGGCTAAGTTAATTCCAAACAAAACCAAAACAAAACTTTATTCCAAACAAAACCAAAACACAATAATAAACAAAGCCACAAGTGCAGTCAAAGCCCACGAACATGAAGACTAGGCCAATTTGTGTAATTCAATCGCATGTTGCCTGAATGATCATAGCACCAGAGTCCCCACTAGTAAATTTTAGGAAACTCTATGTCCCCATTCCACCCCCACTGCAACTACGAGAAAAGCGAACAATTTACCTATGCCACCGCCTCAGATGCTTGAACACATTCAGTGACCATATATTTTGCATGCTGTTCTTTCTTTTTTTCATACTGTGCACTTGGTTTTTCCAGATAAAGAAGCAGGGTTGTAGCTTGAACTAGTGGCGCAAGGATAAAAACAGAGTGGAGCTCATTGGCACCTCGTCTGTCCTGCCCCCTCAAAAGTGAAAAATAGTCGAACAAGATGTTGAAGGGGATGCCCTTGCTCGGCCGCAGAACAAAATTTGAGTTGGAAGCGGGAAAGCCTCTAAAAAGTATGAACCCCTGTTCTTCTAAAGGAATGCTTCACTGAATGTGATTGCTTTTACTGCCTTTTACTGAAACCAAGTGCATAATTCCATGAAACTGTGTGTTATGACAAGGAGAACAAATATTCTAGAAGTTTTTCAACAATATGTGATAACTCAGGATTCAACTTTAAGGCAACACACTGTCAAAGTACTTAGGAGTAGGGCAGATATCTAAAGACTGAGAACTTGTGTCGTAAGAAACCATTGCTGCGGGATTCCGTAGTAAAAAATAAATTGAAAATCAAGTGGAAGGACAGAAGAGGTGCTTGCTCGGTCATTGGCACATTAACTCTATGATTGTGTAAGCGTGCAGTTATACTGTTTTTCGATTTCAGCTTTCTCTGGAATGTTGTTGTCAGGCAGCATTGACACAGAGTCTTTCATCATCTCTCTAGCAATTGTCAGCGTCTGGAACAGCCCCCCAGACTGCTAGAACGACTGCTAAAACATGTTCAGTGTAATGTAATTTGCACAAAGTTGAAATTTTTTCTGCTATGTAATATTCTCCACACCAGCTGTATACCTCATCCCAGCAAGGACTTTTATTCTGTCCTCACAATTTACTTTAATGAGGCCTTTATGGCCTCATTAAAGTAAACTTTTCTTTCACATTTATTATTATTATTGTAATGCTGGTACAACACAGATATATAGTTTGGATATATTCGAAATCTGCAAGTTGGTAATAACACACGCTAAAAATTTACTGCAATTGAGGGGGGGGGGGGGGTTACCACTTATTAGTGAGTGTGTGTGTGTTCGTATGTGTATACATACATTATACACAAGCAAAATAAAAAGAATCCCAGGGGAAGGTGAACACCCTCCTTAATCCCCTAGATGCATGCCGTGTCTTGCTTAGGAGAGTGCAGAGTCAGTTCATAAGCAAATGCACAGGACACAAAAGGTGCTCACTTGCAACTTATATTCATTACGAAACACCTCCCACCACAAAAGTTTATACGTGCCAGCACTGTTACACCCACAGAAAAACTATCTCCACTGTAAAGAAAGCACAAAAGGTAATGCTATATCGCAGGGAAGACCAAAATCAAACTATTAGAAAGATAGCTCATGGTTGAAGGAGGGAGGGATGCATTTACTTCACTTCTCTGCACAGTGTGTCCAGTTCAAACAGCTCGCTATATTGAGACTGCACACAGGGCTTCATATCCACACGGACTATGATAAAGGAAGAATGACACTAGCGCTGTTAAAAAAAAAGCAATAATAATTCTGAATCAATTAAAGCTTCCCAAAAAGAGCAAACTACCTTTGGTTATTTTTTTTCAATTCATACGAGGAGGTTGGAAACAGTTGCCTGATTGGTGCATACCCCCTCATTCAGTAGATGAATGAATAAGGCTGTACCCTTTAAATCGCGCAGTGGCTCTCGCCACCTAGCCCTACACTGGGAAGTACTAGCACTCTGTAGTAAAAGAATTTCACTCGTGCCTTGATTGTAGCCACCAATATGATAACCTCCTCCTGTTTATTTCTACCCTCTTAGTCTATTTTGCCCTCACTGTCAGTAAACACGAATGCTCAGAAAAATTCAGTGTTATTATCTTGAACCCAAGGATGAAGTCCTTTACAGAACAGTGTCAAGTATTCAGCTGTTTCCTCCTCCTCTCCACACACACTGTCTATCCTTTCGTATTTGCCTCTCTATGTCTTGGTCCGTGATACTCTTCTCCTGGCTTAAAGCAGCAGAGAACTACCCTGAGAATCATCGTAGGTCTTCTCTTTGGCGATTTCCTGCTTAAAAGTTTGGTATGTCTCCAGTAATGATTTCACAAGCATCCTTATTTTTAACATGCCCCTCTCCATTTCCTTCACTCCCTTCTTAAGCAGAGTTTTATTTTATTTTTGTCTTGATCTCCAACTGTGGTCTAAATATCTGCTTGACAATTTTCAGATTTGCTTCCTCTACCTTGAACCAACATTCCTCCCGTACAAGTAGCTGAAAACTTTCCTAGCCCAAAGCTCTCCTCCCATTTCTCCCAATCACTTCTCATATTCTACCTTGCTGCTAGCTTCCTTGCCCTCAAATGACGTAACATTCCATATGTCCCACTGATTCTATGTATTCCAGCGTGCTCCCAAAGCAGGCTTACCCATGCCACGCTGCTCAATTTCGAATCCGCCAGATGGCCCACCCTAAGGTCCCTAGTAGCAACGGAACCCAAACATTCGCTTTTAGATGAAAGTTTTAAACCTTCTAGGGGGCGCTTCGGAAACATAGGCGAAGAGGAAAGGGAAAGGTGTCGCTACCTTGAAAACTTGTTTCATCTAGGGACCTTAGCCCACCCCATGCTGTGGGGCCATCTAACGGGAAAAAAATGACCATCTCTTCAACATGGCGTCAATGGCCGGAAACGTGAACGGCGTACGAAGCTAATTAGTCAACGTTTGTACAGACCTGTTTTTGATGCGGCGCGAACGCTTTCTGCTCGCTTCGTCGTGGAAGAACAACGTCGGCACGTAGTCGATATCGTCAGGGTCATAGCTCGGCGACCCTGCAGAAAGACGAACACGAGTGTTTTCACGCGACAAAAGATGTCGTACACGCACCCTTTACAAAGTGGTCAGCGTACAGCCTGCTATGGTCAGTGGGCAAACAGTTTTCCTTTCGGAGTCTGACGGCGGATGGCCACTGCCCACTGCTTGCGACGCTCAGGATCCCAGGGCACGCGAAACATTTTCTGCGCTTTTTCACTCGAACTGCTGCACATTACCGCGCTACATCCTACCATTTTCCTTCAACAATATTTACTGCCAGAATCGCAGAAATAACGTAAATTTCTGTTGCTGCGTCAAACGCATCTTTGATCAATCACTGATCAATCAATGAAGCCAGAAGCGAGGACTCCAAAACCGGAAGTTGAAAGCATACACGTGCTAGGGTACACGCGGCATTCAAGAACTTAAGTACATTCTACATCTCAAAATCATACAGTACAATCCGAACATTCATTTTTTGACACTGACATGTTTATTACTTGTAATATAGTTTTTTAACACATCCGCAAGCCACATACACTGCCTCTGAGAAGCAAAATTTGTTTTAAATCTTGAAGGCCATACAATACAAGCTATCGTGCATGTTGACGTCACAGCAAGTTGGAAAGCATCGCATATGCACCTAAGCTACAGTGTTTAGTACACTTTACCTCAGCTGAAGTCTCGGCGCTTGTCACTTCTCGCAATAGTCTGCCAAAAATCAAGAAACGTTTTTTGTGCGTTTGAAATCTTGAAGGCTATGCAATGTGATCCGCTCAAGTTTAGATAAACTCGTAAGCATCATCAATCCCACAAATTTTTGCAGCCTTGGCGTTTATCAATTTTAGCATTTTTCTAGACACGCACGCACTTTTGTTTGCATCACAATGTTTTGCATATAAGTTGCCTTTCATAAGTCTGATGCGTTAATACCACGACCTACTGTATTTTACTGACCTTGACTGACCTGCCCAGCGATCGAAGCGCGAGCACGCCCTTTCTGGTATTGGCGCCTGCCTCTATGCGCTCTGTAGCGCTGCAACTTACCTCATCCTAGCGTTACTGTATATGCTACCTTTAGGTAGCATATACCTAATGGTAGTATTTACAGTAACTCTACCTCATCCGCACCGGTTGCTGGCGACCAAAACATGAACTGTCGCGCTTTTTTTTTTTTTTTTTGTCGTCTGCTCGCGCAACGCTGGGAGAAAAGCAGCAATGTTTTCACGTGCACATACTCTGGACAATTATTATTATTATATATTATTATTATTATTATTATTATTATTATTATTATTATTATTATTATTATTATTATTATTATTATTATTATTATTATTTATTATTATTATTATTATTATTATTATTATTATTATTATTATTCCTTTTATTTCTTCAAATAAAACAGTACATGTGACTATAGGCCTGCCAAAGCCAATTGGTGGCTTGAGTAGCAGAGCCTGGCAGACAGCAAAACAAACCGGACGCGTTACAAGATTGTATTTTATGGCCTAAGAGGGATGATAGGACAAAAAACAACGTGCATGTAAGATTAGAAACAACAGGGCATATAAGCAATAGTTACAAGCATTATACAATAGTTACAGCAATTGAAAGTGAAAAGGTGTAAAGGAAAAAAGAAAGAATTAGAGCAAATGCTTCTTAAGCAAAGTAACACACTGGATAATTGTGCAGCATCATGCTTGCGAATGAGTGTATATGAAATAACACACGACATGCATTACAATTGTAGACAGATACGCCGTAGAATTTTCTTTAATTTGTATTTTGTTATTGTGCGAAAAATGCTGGGGGAAAGTACATTGAAATAGGTTGGTACATAATGGGCTCGTATTCTTGTTCCATACTTTGTTGAACACCGCGGCCTCTAGTAACGTACTTTGGACCTTAAAGAACGAGAAGTAACATACTGAACCAGGAATTTTTTGGACCAGAAATGTTTTAAAACAACCGTTTGAATTAACAGATCATTGAAGTTTGGCATAAACAGCGTTTTGAAAATGTCTTTCTCAGAATCAATGTTCAGGTCGTAAGATATATTTTTTAAAATCGAACGCAATATTCTGTTTATTCTATTGTGCCAACAGACAGCGCAGTGTCCGTAAATGGTTATTCCGTAACGCAGTATACTGTAACCTAAAGCGTGTGCTATCATCTTACGTACTGAAAACGGCATGTTGTATCTTATGTTATATAGTAGACTTGACACAGCGCGAAGTCTTTTGCAAACATAGGCGAGATGACTATTCCAGGAAAGGTCGCTGTCAATGTATAAGCCAGGGTATTTCACAACAGATGAATATTGTAATGGACTACAAGAGCAGGATGAACAGTCAGAACAATGCAGAATGAAAGGATAGTCAAGGGTTACTTTCTTCAATGGATTGTGGAGGCATATTAGATTAGTTTTAGACACATTTATATTAATAAGGTTATCTCGAAACCAATCCATGGCTTTAGTGGCAGTTGACTGAAAAAGAGTAATTGCCTCATAAAAGTTGTTTGCAGTCGTCACGATCACAGTGTCGTCGGCGTATTGACATAGAGAAACCGGTATCGTGCTGTGAAGGTCATTTACAAAAATATTGAATAGCAGCGGACTAAGAATTGATCCCTGAGGAACGCCGGTTTTGATTATTTAGGACGCGCTGTGAGATTGTTCAACGGATACAAGTTGACGCCTGCCTTGGAGGAAATTTGCCAACAAAGACCAGAAAGCACCCCTAAACCCCAACTGAAAAAGTTTATCCAATAACAAGATATGATGGACACTGTCGAAAGCCTTGCTGCAGTCAAGAAAGAGCGCACACACAACTTTGTTGTTATCGAACGCCTTGTTCAACTGATCAGAGATGTCTTCCTATAGCGTCTGAGTGCTTTTCCCCTGTCGAAAACCATACTGGCAAGGCGATAAGATGTTGTGACTATCGAGAAAGCTTGTCATCGTTAACAACAAATGTTTTTATAATATTTGTGCTATAGAAGGCAGAATTGATATCGGACGATAATTTTCAAGTTTATCACGCGCACTGCATTTGTGTAGAGGTATAACTATTGATGATTTCAAGTTTATGGGAATTTCTCCACTAGAAATAATGCGATTTATTAGTGCTAGCAGAACTTCATTGGTGTATTCAAATGTACGGTGCAAGTCAGTTATAGAAACACCATAAATACCAGCAGATTTTTTACACTTCAAACTGAAAATGATAGATCATAAGTCCTCATGTGATATTGAAGGTAGATAAGCCGATTCGCTAATACTGTGACGTAAAGTGCACGGGCCTACTTGGGAATTTGTGTTTTTAATTGTTGGAGAGAAAAAGTTGTTAAAAAAGTTGTTAAAGAAGTTGTTAAAAGTGTTAAATTAAAATGAATAAAAGCCTCTTTTTGAATAAACTGAAGAGTATGAGGACGATCTTTTGCTATCGTCTGCTCGTGCCGAGCTGCAACAGAAGCGTGCAGGTAGGTGCAGTTACAGTGGCTAGAATATTCCAGCCACTGTAGTGCAGTTTATACACCAGCGAAGCGAGGTTTCTTTGTCCAAATTAACCATCCCGATGGTGGTGTGCTGCGTGCCTTTCTGCGAATCAAGGCAAGGGAAGACTCTTGATGTGACTTTTCATGAGTTTCCAGTGACCGAGGTCCGTGAAAAATGGACCAATGTCATTTCTATAAAGGGTAAGTCTGCTCAATTAAGGGTTGTCTGGCACGCTGAAAATGTAATGTGTTGTAAAAGACTACGTGTCTCTAAATGAGTGAGTTGCTGGGCTGGTTGGTGGTGCATGACAGACTGAAACGCATATTAGCGAAAAAAAAAAAAACCCGACAACCTCAAGAAAGTAAACGACGACGCGCTATACTCACAACTGTTTATTACCAAAAAAAGGAAATATGACAAGAGTGCACTTATGGAAATCATGTCACTACATGTGGTTATGCAACTAGTTTTTGAAACGCACCCATTGTGTGAAGAATTAGCGTTGAATAAGCGATTTTAAGTGCTGTTTCGTTTCAAAGCAGTTGCACAGTGTCTTTCATTGATTATTCATCTACATGCGATCTACATTTGCCATTTGAGACGAAGGTATTTATGCGCAAATTATCTGTAATTGGTTGTTTTCTATGGGCGCCGGATGCCGCGGACACTGTCAAATATTATAGTCCTTGCCCTTTCTTGCCCAGACAGTAAATGCAAGCCAGCTGAGTGTACTCCAAAGGCAACAAATCTATCACTGTATACACATATAGCTGGTATCATGAGTTAAATAAACATTTGGTGGCCAGCGCTTTTTACAACCTGCCTCCGTCGTCATTCTTTCTGGTTTTGCACGCTGATACATGTGTTTGTACCTGATTTGCGATTCTATTTGAAAAATATGGCACTGAAATGTCAACTACAATGCAAAAGAAGATTCTCAAAGTCATATGAAATAAAATGATTCAACATAGCCGCCACATTTACTCAATGCGTGATGAAACTCTTCTCTAACCGGTGGCAACCCATGCATTCCGAACATCCACCGGCGCTCATGAATGGATGGATGTGGCTGTACCACAGTCCACAGAAGACCTGCTGTACCCTTTAGATCGGGCGGCGGTTAGCGTCATCTAGCCGTAAACTTAGTGAACTAACCACTGGATTTATCTCTTTTAGGAATGGTACTTCGCAGTGAAGGGTTTAATTTTCACTCGTGCCTTGACTTCAGCCACCAATCAGATAACCTTCTTTCAGTTAATGCTACCCGCTTAAAGTCTATTTTGCCCTCCCTGTCCCTCAACCCCAGTCCTTTGAAAAACTCTGCGCCATCATACTGAACTATATAGGGTGAAGCCCTTTACAGAACATTATCAAGTGTTCGGCAGTTTCCTCCTCCATCTCCACATGCACTACATACCGTGTATTTGGCCCGATTTGGCCCTTCGTATTTGGCCCGATATGTCTTGGTTCGCAATACTCCCGTGCTGGCCTCAAACAGTAGAGAACTACCCCGAGTATTATCATAGATTATTTCCTTGGCAATTTCCTGCTTCAAAGTTCGAAAATCTCTAGTGTGGACTTCTTAATCATGCCAATTCTCCCATGTCAGTCTCTGTTTCCTTCACTTTCTTCTTAACCGATAGTTCTTTATGGTTTGGCCACCTGCTGTTTTTTAAGTATTTACCAGTCAATTTCCTAGTTCGCTTCCTCCGTTTTGTATCGACATCCTGCATGTACAAGTAGCTGAAAACTGTCCTAGCCCAACGCTCCTCCCCGATTTCTCTCAATCACTTCTCAA